GATTAGAACCCGCCACCTTAGGTGCATGTGGCTGGCGCCTTAGCCACTTGAGCCAAGGCACTGAGCTGCTAACTCACCTTTTTATCTCAACAGTTTTCTCATTTTTCTTTTGTTTTCTCACAATTCCGCCCCTGGGGTACTAGCTGCCCATCTCAGATGGAAGTTCTCATCCCCTTATCAGACATCATCCTCCATTCTTCTGCTTTCCTAGGATCTGGACGACATGGACGCTGACCTCTTAGGTCTGAAGAAGTCTAATCTGGCCTCTGGCAAAAGAGCTGCAAAGGGTCCTGGGAGAGAAGAGCTGCCTGGTGACCCTAGACCTGCTGGCAAGTTAATAGCCCCTGAGAAAGGTATGTGGGGGGTAGACTTAGAAGGAAGCTTTTGTGTCTTGGGGGTTCTTTGCCTGGGATGGAGAGGCCAAGGCAGGGTTGCATGCACATATGTGAGTGTTTACAGTGGAGTGGGCTTCCTCCCTTGTAGGGCTGTTCCAGTCCCTCTGAATCCAACATGGGTGTGGGGGTTCCTATGGACCCCAACCTGGGATGATCAGCAAGGGAGATGTCACTGGAAAAATCAAGAGACTTTACGCCAAACTTAATAGCCTAAAGCCTGGAAGTCTGAAAGAGCATATACAGCTGCTTCATGTGCCAGATGGCAGCCTGAAACAAAGTAGCTGCTGGTTATGCTTCATAGGAGTTTTTATTGGGTAGAGCAACAGAGTAAATGTGCAAGAATGCACAGCAGTCAAGGTTAAAAAATGAGAGAGTGGAGATTATGGTCCCTGGGAAGGGGGTAAAGGGTAATGGTGGGATAAATAGGGAAATAAGGCAATGGAACATCTGAAGCAGCCAGGTAACGATACAAAGGGTGGGGGGGACAGCAAGTCTCCTCTCTTCAGACAGATCTACCTTAGCTTCCCTGATCTAAACTGCTGATTAAGGGATAGTAATGCAGACATTGCCCAGATTGAGCATCTTTCAGACTCCTATCTTCTCAATTAGGAATACAAGAGTGGCCTGCTTGTGTGCTTTACCTGGCTTGAAGGACCCGTGGGGAACTCAACCTACCCACCTCCCACACACAGGCAGCTTCTAGAGAATCTCTTTGAGTTAATATGGACGGTGGGCCAGATGTAGTGGCCCATGTCTATAATCCTAGCACTCTGGGAGGCCAAGGCAGGTAGATTGCCTGAGCTCATGAGTTTGAGACCAACCTGAACAAGAGTAAAACCCCACCTCTCAAAATAGCCAAGTGTTGTGACAGGTGCCTATAGTCCTAGCTACTCAAGAGGCTAAGGCAAGAGGATTGCTTGAGCCCAGGAGTTTGAAGTTGCTGTCAGCTAGGCTGATGTCATGCTACCAGGCACTCTACCAGGGCAGCAGAGTGAGACTCTGTCTTAAA